CGGGCAAACTCTGAGGACTGCAAGGAAAAAAAAAAAAAAAAAAAGGTTCAATGACTACTTTATGTACTCGTGTATAAGTCGACTTCATGTCTAACAGGACTATATATTTTCTTTCGGCATGAATTTTAACCCCTTCAGAAAAAAATTGACCTATGTAAACTGATCACCGAAAATATATGATTTCCCACCAAATTACCGGCCTATTGTGTGATCCGCTATTTTTTGCTTAAAACTTGATCATAAAACGTTGTACTATATTCGACTATAACTACTTCTTTATGTGCAGTGTCCTCTCAGGATTTAGACGAACATGGCTCTTCACAACGTCCTGTTCTTTGTAGCTCAAAATAAATATTGTCTTTTATTTATCTCCCAAAATCTGTTCTACCATCCATTTACTCAAGCCCATCAAATATGTTACACGCTGCTTCCCCCTGTCTTGTGAGTATCAAATTTTCCAAGCCCTCTTTACTCATTAGAACTTTCAACTGTCTCTTTCTGATCTTAAGTATAAGTTTCCTTTTTGACTCCATTTTCTATAAAAGTGCATCGTTGCTCACATGTTCAGTCCATGGTATTCTCAGCGTTCTTCTCTTAAACCAGATTTCTGCTGCTTCAAATATTGTCTTCATCTTTGAGTAGATTTTCCAGCATACGGGAGGACAAGTAACGTGTAAAAGTACAGTACCCTTTTCTTTATTTCTAACGAAGTTTTTCTATTTTTTTAGTACACTGCTTAGCTTTTATGTTGCTGAAAAGAACACGTAGAAAATCAAGTCTTACAGGCTGCAATGAATTAGGAGTCAATCAACATTTAAAGAACGATGGTTTTTGAAAGGAAACAGCATCTCGAATTAATTTATCGCATCTGTTATCCGACAATGCGTTGTTTACTTCATTAAAGAATTAATATTATGGAGGATTATAAGAGCATATAGCGACATATATGCCATAGCTTACACAATTCCAAAAGAACTGCTATACAGGAAAAGCGTAATTACATTACGAACGCCGTTAATGTTAGATGTGAACGTCTACGCTCATAGTATACAAGGCGATAAAATATATCGAGGCTGGAAAGTGAAAATTGAGCAGTTCTACATGTGACAGCAATACTACAATATACGGGAAAATGGCCTAGTGGATTAAAGCAATGATTCGTGAATTTGCTGATACAGGGATTGTGAGTTCATCCCTGGGTCAATCGGGCAGCGTGTACTCGAACCCAGTGGATATGGGCGAGCCATAACTGTGCAGTACTATTATAAGAACTAGACGATATATCACAAGACATGAGCAGTGGAACGTGAAAAGTCTACCCCCGTAAATTAAATAAAGGTTTTAGTTCAGAATAACTTGTAGGTTACTCAGATTGATATCGTTATATACCGTACCAATAAACATTAATTGGTATGTCACAATCCTAAATAAATACGATGGACACGTTGCAATACGTTGTAAGTCGAGGTAATATGCAGTCTACGCTGGCATCGAAGAACTCGGACGAGACTCTGCTCTTCGGCATAGCCTCGATAGTAGGTAGACAGATATCCGATCCCGTGTATGCGAGATCTACGGTCAATTTTTGCCCAAGCCCACGCGCTCGGATTTCCTCACATTAAATTGTCCTTGCGCCGCATCCTACCTCTTGGGGATGCAGCTAAATATCGTAATATGCTAAGTAGTCCACCACTAGCAGTGGTTTACCTACTTTACGCCGCTGACGAGTATTGTATTTTGTTGATGTTATAATGATTTACCATTTCGTTTCCAAGCTCCGTTTCGGTTATTCCTCAGATATACACCTGAGGGCACAACGGTGGCAGCGTTCTGATAACAACAACAAAGATGAAGACAACAGTCCGAATATAGTGTGACACTATTTAGCTATGGTAATTGGCTAATTAATTAAGCATGGGAATTAAAAGCGAGAAATACTTAAGGCGAGAAAAAGCTATAACGAAAGACATACTGAGCGATGTTATTTTTTTAACAAAAGAAAAATGGGTCAAGATTTTATTTTCATTTGCGAAGAAAGGTATTTTTTTCGCAGAAGATAGAAAATTCGTAAGATCTTGGATCTGTCAGAATTAATTTATGCCATGACGCGACAATGAAAAACAGAATACGGGTAAAAGTTAACAATCTGCCCATGACAATAATGAAAATTTCAATTTGGTCAAGAGGCTTACAAAAACAGAATGCTAGAAGATATCGAAACTGGGTCAAGCATGCGACCGAGAAAGAATTAGGTGAGACCCCCCCCCCAAAGAAAAAGGAAGGAAAAAGAGAAAATAAAAAATAATAAGCCATTAACTATCTTTCGGAGATATCATTTGGTTTTGGAAGGTGGACCGTCTGTTGTATGTTCAGAACTTGTCATGATAAAACTTTGTTACCTGGACAAGCTGTTGGCGACAGAATGCGATGATGTTGAGAAAGACAAAGAGATTTAGTTGACCACACAGATAATAAGTCGGCGAAAATCTCATTAATGAATCCCAGATGACATCAGGTTAAGATAAAAATTTAATGTCCACAGTGCGATTCATTGGTGTTCTGGCCGATGGAAAAAAAAAGAAAAGAAAAGGGAAGCTATTTTTTTTTCTTTGAGCGATAATTGTAAACGGAGGCCAGTCTAGTCACACCCACACTGCCGAGCGTTCATTGGCTGAATGCTGACGTGAGCGATGGGCGAAGATAAACATATGAGAAAGAAGGGAAAACTGTTGACGCGCCTGAAGGGAATGGTGTGAGATACCAATATGAGAAAGGAAGAATTTAGGAGGACAATTCCCTTCAGAACCCCTCTAAAACAGAAAGTAATTGACTTCCAAAAATGGGAAGTGATAAATTTTCCTGTCCGAAAACAAAGAAAATCCTTATTGCGGATTTGGAGTTATCGAGGAACCCAAACCACGACAAGCCCCCACCCGGTTTGGGTCGGCGTCTATATAAACGAACGTCCCCAGAATAAAGTAACAGTTGGCGACAGTTGGAGAAGACAGTTGGCGACAGTTGGAGTCACAGAGTTGAGTTGCAGTTGAGCTGTGAGCTCGGAGACCATCCTCGCAGGAGCTGACCGAAAGATTTCTACGCATTCCGACTTCTAACCAAAAACATTTTTTTAAGAACGATTTAGACTCACACCACCAAAACAAGTTTTACGAATATCGCCTGAAGATACCAAAAAACAGTTTATTGAAAAACAACTTAAGATATTAAGACTCACCTAAGAAATGCAAAGTGTCAAGAAACGCAAAGTGTCACGAATCCATAGAAGTGGTTTGGGAGAAAGATGCTGTTCTGTATTCAGCAAACAGATATAAAGATACTTGTTATTTTTTTTCAACACATTTGAATCTTTGGAGTTGTTACATTATTTTCTTTTACATATACTTGTGCGGTATCACCTTTGCCTCGGATTCAGCTTGCACTACGGCCCAACGCCTGATTGATTTCGTCTACCTAAGACCAAGTCACAACGTTGGTAGGTTAGTCTAGAAATCAAAGCAGTTACTTTGGTAACTAGACGTTGGAAGCGAGCTCGGAACGACAAAGCTGATATCGAATCTAACCAGATTTCCATCCGAACCAGCCAAGGGTTAGATCGTCCGAGGATAGCACAAGAGCAGGACTAGGGTGACGTCACAATAGTCTAAATAACTATATTAAATCGCCCGAGAGAAAAATGTCTTTTCCGGGTTCTTGCCCTAGGTTACGGGTGCCAGTTACGCAATAAATTTCAACACAAAGCAGGACCAGCTTTTTGAAACTATTTAATCTGTTGTTCTCTTAAATAGTTTATGTCTCTCTTTCCTACCTTCATGCTGATGCACCTGTCTGTTTTTTTTATCTCTTGAAACTTTGAATGTTAGTCCATCGTGACCAGGCTATTATGTCGAAAGGCGTCGCAAGGGAGGGAAAACGGACATTTGACAATCTCTGGAAACGGATTCTCCGTCCATATTGACAATTATCTCACCGTTTGTAGAGCTGGGGTGATGGCGATTGCCAAAACGCTCTTATTTATAGCAAAACGAAGGAAAAGCAACCGGACAGTAAAGCTGGCGGTGCGGTGGGATCAAAATCGCTCACGCTCAATGAATGAACTCATTAGACGCAGTCGCCCTGTTGTTTATCGTCTCATGATATCTGACCTCTTCAGTGTAACCCGCTGGAATATTTGAGTCTACACGCAAACGAAGTAAGCACACTCACACATAGCACACAGGCGCGCGGGCGCAGAAACCTTTTGCACATGTAACACCCGTTCACAAGCGCACGTCAGTGACCGGACTTTCTCGGGGGAATCGAAAGATAAGACGATCATTTGTTGTCTTGAATCTTTGCACATCGTCCTGGCCACTGTTGGGCGGTAATGGTGCGTGAAGTGATTTCCCTCTTGTTTTGGCTGAGAGGATGTCTACAGACAGCGGGGAGCCAGAAAAATAGGTTTTATTTTTCATCTTTTCAACTCATGTTATTCACTCGATAAAACCATGCTACTTCTCGACCTTATGTATACATCAGGCTTGTCTGCGCGCAATCACACCTCGACGAACTCGTGGTCATACCTCTCCGACTTTACGTCTTTGATTCTGTTTTCTTCTCTTTCGGCACCTCAAAAGAATTATTCTGATCTAAATTTAACACTCAATTTTCCACACCTTGATTCGTTTTTTTCCATTGATTCCATTGATTCCTTTCTTTTTTGATTTTAGGTTTTACCAAATATTTTCTTTTTGTTTTCCACTTTATATTTTTATTTGTTAATTTGTTTGTTTCTATTTTTGTTATTGTCTATACCGACTTCCTTCGACATATATTTATCTCACTTTCCTGTTTTTCTTTTTGTCTTTCTTTTCCCCGTTTCTATTCTTTCCTTCCATCTTTCTTTCTTTTAGGTTTTATCACATTTTACCGATCCTCTACTCTGCTTTTCTTTGTCTTTTTTTCTCTTTGTTTCTTTCTGTTATTGTTATTCTGATATATTTCAGTTCCTGTATGTATTCTTTCTTTTTTCTTTCTTTCATTCATTCATTGTTTCTTTCTTTTTCTTTTTTCTTTCTTTTTTGTTTCTTTCCTTTTTGTTTGTTTCTTTCTCTTTCTTTCTTTCTTTCTTTCATTCATTGTTTCTTTCTTTTCTTCTTTCTTTCTTTCTTTCTTTCTTTCTTTCTTTCTTTCTTATAGCTATGTATCTTTCCTTATTCCTACTCAAATCTTTGTTTTTTTTAATTTTACATTCTTTCTTTATTTTCAGATGAATATTTTTGATTCTTTTCTTTCTTTTTTCTTTCTTTTTTCTTTCTTTCTTTTTTTCTTTCTTTCTTTCTTTTCTTCTTTCTTTCTTTCTTTCTTTTTTTCTTTCTTTCTTTCTTTCTTTCTTCATTTCTTTCTTTCTTATAGCTATGTCTCTTTGGTTATTTCTACTAAACTCTCTGTTCTTTGATTTTTCTTTCTTTTTCCTTCTTTCTTTCTTTTCTTCATTTCTTTTATTTCTTATAGCTATTTCTTTCTTTTCTTTAAACTCTCTGTTTTCTTTTTCCTTCTTTCTTTATTTTTCCTATGAATCTTTCCTTCTATTTTTTTTCTTTCTTTCTTTCTTTTCTTTCTTTTTTCCTTCTTTCTTTTACTTTCCTGATTCCTATTTTTGCTTCCTTTTTTCTTTCTTTCTTTACTTTCTTTTTTTTTTTCTTTCTTTCTTTCTTTATCTTTTTTTTCTTTCTTTCTTTCTTTCTTTCTTGATTATAGTTTTCCTTCCCTCACTCAGTTCTTTTCCTCTTTCATACTTTTTTCTTTCTTTTCACAGAAATGTTCCTGTTTCTATTAATTCTTTCTTTCTATTTTTTGTGATTTCGATATATTTCAGTTGCTTTTACTCAGTTTTCGCTTTCATTCCTTGCAATGAAAGATTCCTGCCTTTATTTGTCCTTCTTTCATTCATTCATTCTATTTTTATTATAGCTTTTTATCTTTTCCTTCTACTAAACTTCTCTTCCTTAGTCTTTTTTATTTTCGATGAAATATTCGTATTTCTATTCGTTCTTTCTTCTTTTTTTAATCAAATTTTCACATTAATTCTAACCTTTTTTCTTTTTATGTTTCTTTAAATTCATTTATTCATTCACTCATTCATTATTTTCTTTCTTTCTATGTTTATATTTCTTTCCTTTTACTCAGTACCCCCTCGCTTTTTCTTCCTTTCTTTTTTACACACTCTTTCTACTCCTTTCTTTCTCCATATTTTTATTTATTATTTCTTTCTTTCCATTCTTTCTTTGTTTTTGTTATACCTAGATCATTTCCTTCAGATTCAGAAATAAAAATTATTTATTTATCAAGAATTATTCCAGTCTATAGTATAGGTCGGTCACTTTTTTCTTTCTTTCTTTCTTTCTTTTTCTTTCTTTTCTATAGTATAGGTCTGTCGCTTTTCTTTATTTCTTTCAGCCTTTTCTTTCTTTCTTTCTTTCTTTCTTTTTTCTCCTATTATGTTGAGGTTTTCTTTCTTTCTTTCTTCTCTCTTATCGCTTACTACTTTTTGATTTTATTTATTTATTTAATATCTTCTATTAGGTTAAGTTTTCCCTCTTTCTTTCTTTCTTTTTTCTTTCTTTTATCCTGTGATCTTGTCTTCCTTTCCTTATCTCCTATTAGGTTTAGGTTTTCTTTCCTTCTTTCTTTCTTTCTTTCTTTCTTTCTTTTTTATCTCCTATTAGGCTGAGGTTTTCCCTAATTCTTTCTTTCTTTTCACCTATGAACCTTTTTCTTTCTTTCTTTCTTTCTTTCTTTCTTTCTTTCTTTCTTTCTTTCTTTCTTATCACCTATGAGCCTTTTTCTTTCTGTCTTTCTTTCTAATTAATCCAAGCCAGCTTAATATCTATGCTTCCATAGAAAAATGTCCATAATTTTCGAATACGAAAATACAGATCTTGATTTAACGGTTTTGGAAGTTTTTTCCTATTTATTGTTTCGTTTCCTCAACTCATTTCGTTCTTTGTTTTTACTTATACGCCTACCATTTTGTGTTTTTTTCCTTTTTACTACAAATTCCCTTCACCTTCCCTCTATTCGCCTTTATATCCCGTTCCCCACATCTCATTTCTATTTCACTGTTTGCCAAAGCAATCCACTATCTTGAACTATTAAAACGTGATGTATATTTATGAACGTTTATTAAATTTAAAAATATTGAAAAAATAACATTTTTTATTTTTATTTATAAATACTGTTCCAAAGTAAAATCCTTATACGTGTCCATAAGAGGATGAAAGGCGTCAGCTAAGTTTGCTTTTTTTCATCTCTCTCTCTCTCTCTCTCTCTCTCTCTATATATATATATATATATATATATATATATATATATATATATATATATATATATATATATGTGAGATAAAGAGAATTAGTCCGCGTATATTTATTACAGAATCAATATATAGTATGCGGATGAAAAAATTATCTGAAGAAGAAGGAAGAATTTTATTTTAATTTATATTATAAATCCAGAAGACAAAAGAGAAGCAAGATGAGAAAAAAAAATAAATCAAAATTTTCGGATAAGGCTTTAAAATTTATCATATTTAAAAAGGAAACATATTCAGTACCTCTGATAATTATATGATCTAGACAGTGTAAACATTGGAACCAACAGTGCAAGCTGATTGTCAGTTTCGCATTTAGGTTCTATATTATGACGTTATAAATCGTACTGAAGAGTGAAACTGACATTTACAAACCAATGTTGAATACTCTGACCATATCTATCTATCTATCAATCTATCTATATATATATATATATAAGAAAAACAGACCGCTTTAAGGTACCATTATAATAATTTATTTCATCAGAGTCCTTTTAAAAGACGCCGGATCATCAGATAGCACTTCCAAAAATGAAATGAAACGAAAAATGAAATTAAAATTGATGGGTAGTCTAAATTTTTGTAATTTAACAGATAGTGTAAAAGGAGTAGTTAAAGAGACATGGTAGAGTTTAGGGAGGGATTCATTTCATATCTCTCTCAAGCATACTTTGTATCGGGGGAGCAGGAATGACCAGACCTTGACCTATTTAGACGGTTAACTTAACGGAAGTGATATATATTGAAATGGGAGAAGAGAAGGGAGAAAAGGAAAAAGGAAAAAGAAAGAAGAGGGAGAGGGAAGTAAAGAGAAAGAGGTTGTAATTGTGTTTTAGCAATTTATGTAAAGAATAGATTTATATATATATATATATATATATATATATATATATATATAGATAGATAGATAGATAGATAGATAGATAGATATAGATATAAATTGAACACTTTTCACTGCGACATACATTAAAGGTTGAAGTGAGACTAGCCACAAATGTACATGAAAGACAAATGTAACCTAGTCTAAATGGCAACACAACACCATCTACCGTAAATCTTTTTAAAACTTAACTAAAAAACGAAGGATTTGCTAACATATGTCAATGTCTTTGTTTATGGAACCCGCCCCAAGTCTGACCAGCTGAGACCAGCAGCCCGAGTGAAGACACTCAGGCTCCCATGTTAAAAATCGACCCGGTGTCACAAGCTCACTCAGTGGGGGAGGGTCAAGTAAATCTCTACACACCTCTCCTCTCTCCACTTGCCAATATCTTACATACGCTAACAAGAGTCTTCAATAAGGATAAAGTGAACTTAAATATTCATTCATTTTTTTTTATTTCTCATTCATATTTATTTCTTATTGTTTTCTGCATGTAAAACTATAGTTATTCTACATAAAATATATTTTTAATATTTTGAGTTGTGTGGAACGGATTAATTCACTATATCACTCCAGAAAATACCTGCCTCTTTCTACCATGTTCTAACCCGCACAAGAAAATCGAGTATTGTGTCATTTCTATACTGTATCAATTATAACCTTGATAGAATTCAAAATTGTTTACGCGTTCTTATGGGCGGATATTGTCTTCCACCCTACAGCCTCTTTCCCCACATAATCATATTTTCTAACCTGTTTCTACTCTATCATTATTTTTATGGCAAAATTTTACACGGGATTATTTTGTTCCATTATTTCATGTATTTGTTGCTAAGGCACGTCAGGCTATTTCCACAGAGGTGCATCACTGTTCAAACCGTGAGAAGGATGGCAGCATTTTTATCCTTAGAACAGCCACTTCCTCTAGGCGCGTGAGTGCTTTCCTGAAGACTAGCCTTATATCCTGTTCCACTTAAGAGTCAAGTGTTGTCCATCTGCCTTATCCTCATAATTGCTACTTCTTTCTATTAAGTTCATATCACACACCTTATTCATGAGTACCGTTTCAATTGTACTGCTCTACCTTGTCTGGCTCCCTAGCCTTGTAATGGGTGGAATTTTAAAAAAGGTGTAAAAATAGAAGCTTTGGGAACGTCAACCCAATTTCTCTTACTCAGACATTTGGAAATGCATGATATTCAGCAGGTTCAAAAGAAGGAATTCATCTTGAAGTTTTCTACGTGTATGTTGGCTTCAATTCCACCAAGAGGTTTTCCTAAACAGCAGCGAACAAGCCATGATCCTTGTGTATTACGACCGAATGCATTGCCAAATTAATAGCAGTTCTGTTATCGCTTCGAACCTCTCATTTTGGACCAAGTCCAAACAATTCCGTTCTGTGATGCTTGGTCTCCTCTGGTTTTGCCAGTCTTTCAAGGAATTTTAATAAGGAAATTTAGCGATTACAAATGCTCGCCAAAATTGTCAGTTGCTAGCCAATTTTGAAGGATGATGTTGATTGCATATCAGTTGTTGGTGCTGACGGCAGCTGGAAGATTTTTTTCTAATGCAGATTCGCCACAAGAGGGGACATTTCACCCCAAGCAACAAAGTCACTAAGACAGAGATGGTTTCTGAGTGAGGAAGAATAAAATCGAAGGGGAAAAAAACATTATTAAGGAGCGAGGATAATAAAAGAACAGTAATTAAAGAGAGAGAAGTTAACGATTGACGTTGCATTTAAAAAGATCAGACTTGACTGGAAAGCAAGAAGAGTTCTACAAACGAGAAGAGCGACGGAAGAAACTGTTAGCATAGAACTTACGGTTGGATCTAGCTATTTCAACTGATGAAATCTTTTTAGAGAATGCATCAACGCGGGTGTCTGTTACAAAAACCAGGGAGTTGAACTTCTTTTACACAATTGAAATACGATGGTAATTACTTTGATTCGACTCCGCGCAGTATGGCGGATTTTCGCAGTAAGTGTCAGGACTGATGGAATTAAAGAATGGATGGAGATGATTGAGGTTGTTTCTGTGAGAAAAAAGCTGCAGTGTGGAAAACATGTGATGCCCTCACAAAGGGAATGCATTCATGCTTTTGCATAAATGAACTCTAGGTTGAAAAGTGTATATTGAATAGCTACAGACATGGATACCCTATACGCGATTTTTGGCTTAAAAATAAGTTTACTTTTTAAACAGTATACTTATTTATTTTTGTCTACTGACATGAATATTAGAGAAGCATTTCTCGAGTATTCAGGCCGGTAGGTGAAAACAAAAAATATACAGTTTTTATAAATAAACGGAGAGTCAAATCAAATATAGGTATTTACTAAAATAACGTTTAAAGTTATATATATATATATATATATATATATATATATATATATATATATATATATATATATATATATAGTAGGTTTACGTTTGTTTCGGTTTTAGAAACTTCGCTGGACTGTTCTTTCGGCAAGATGGAACACTTCCACATTATGCTTTGGCAGTAAGGTTCTATGTTAACCATATCTTGGTTCAGAAGAAGGGTAAACATCGAATGGCTACCACGTTCACCTAACATGAATGGATTTCTTTTTTGCTGGTGTAGTAAAGAACAAAGTTTGAGAGAAATCTCCACCTCCTCCTGAATGAAAGACAGGCATCGATGCCTTCATTCAGCAAGGAAATACAAAGTTAAACCGCATTCATCTCCTTGATTCTCACCTGAATGCTCGGCCAGAATAGCCCATAGGGACCACTCCTTCCGGCTGTACTAGAGCGACAAGTCTGTTTGCAACAGATTTCTTTTGGTCTCTGCTCGTAACGAGAACAAGCTTGCCCTCAAAGAAGCGAAGTTACGGATAGCATCGCGCAAGTTCGTTTTTTAAGAGATGATTGGCGGCTCTGCAACAGCAAATCCTTGATCCCTCTTCTATTCAATCAATTCGAGGTCGGCTCATTTGGATTCCCCACACCTGACGTCCCCACTAGAACAGACGCTCTACTGAGGGACATGCGCATAATACCGTAATTGGTCTCGGACATAATTTCTAAATTAGACACCCATAAGGCTAGCAGATGTGACGGGATCCCAGCCATTGTCCTAAGGATATGTGCTCCTGAGCTGGCTTCAGTTCTTTCCAAACTCTGCAACTATTACCTCGCTGCTTCCTGCTAGTTGGAAGTCCTCTTTAGTTCCTGTTTTAAAGAATGGAGACATTCTGACCCCTCTATCTCTCTATATGTCTTATACTCGGCAAAGTATTCTAGGCTTTAATCAATCCCGTAGTGGTTAAGCATCTTACCTCTCACGATCTACTTTCTGACAAATAATATGGCTACCATTTTGCCAGTTCTACCACTGATATATTAATGGATATTACTGAAATCTCGAAGGATTTTTACGAGATTTGGCACGCTGGTCGTCTAAGTAAGCTCCAGGGCTACGGTATTACAGGACGATTCTTTGATTTAATCCATTCGTTCCTATCAAATCAGGAAATGAAGGTCGTTTTCAACGGGCTCGCTTCCACATACTTTCACGCGAACGCGGGTGTCAACAAGGTTCTGTCCTGTAGCCTACGCTGTTTCTGATCTTCATCACTGATAT